TGTCAACATGGAGCTGCCTTGAAGTTGCATAAGGTTTTGTCCTAATCCCCATCTTCTACATTTCTAACCAACAATACGGAGCAAAAACATTGTTTTGATAGTGGGCAATAGTCCAGTATATTACTGGACACTAAAGGGCTGTGGACCACCATATTGTGAGGAAGCTGATTTTATTTCTAGTTATTTCAGCCAGAAAACTTGTCCTGTTTTTCAAAAAAATCCTAGTACTCTGGAGCAACACAAAACTTGATTTCTTTCCAATGAAACGTATAAGTATTTAAAGATTTACCATCATGTCTATTTATTCCAATACGATTCCATAACAATTATATTCCAAAATCAATTTCAATTCCTTCCAAACTCTTTCAAAATACTCTAATTTATTCATATTTATGAAGCATGGTACCCAGTGTAGTGAGAGGATGACTTGCTGGCCAATCAATAACCCCCAATGGATACTGAATAATAACTGGTCTCATACTCAAGTGAGGAATAATGGAATATGATACAATAGTGTTAAACAGCATTTAAAGTCTAGTTGACTAGTAATTCTCTTGAGAATCCCTTAACCTTTTCAGAAAACTGTGGGCCACCTGGTGTGGTGCTGAGGGTTAATGCGCCAGAACTGCAAGAGTCGGTGGTTCAAGCTCACCAGCTACTCCTTGGAAACCCTATGGGTTTCGCTATGGGTCAGAATCGACTTGACGGCACTTAACAACAACAATAACATAACAAAACACACATTCAGTCAATAAATGTATACATGCCACAATACTTTGGTCTTACAGCTTGGTTTCTAATTGTAGAGATAACCCCCTAAAACTATCTAGAAATAAATTTACATGTTGCTTAATAGGTAACCTGGGCTAGATCATGCCAACATTTTGATTTGGTGGCCCACCAGTCCAAGAGATAGAAAAAAAGTTAAGGAGGAATAGGCAAGAAGACATGTTACATATAAATCATTCTGCAGGACAAGTACTTAATAATGCAAAATGTCCAAACTTTTCAATTTTAAGTACATTAATATTCAAAAGACAATGTATTGGCCATGTGCACACTTGATTCAATCCCTTAGTTCTTTCTCCTAACTTATCTATTTTAGTTCTTCAATTTAAGGTCCAGGTACTTTAAGATAAATGTTTCCTCCCTGCCCAGCACTCTTTCAAAATAATATGTATGTATGTCTGTATACACACACACACATACATACATACATACATATACTTTTTTTTTACAGTGATCTTTCAGGGACAACAGTCCCTAATTCTGTTGAACAGCCCAAAGGAAAGATGCTGATGGTGAGATTTAGGGAAAATGATGAGGGCAACTCAAAAATAATTATCTAAAAGAGGGCTAGGCAGGAAGGATCTTCAAGCTGACCTTCAATGATACCACACAGGTGGCCAAAGATGTGTCTTAGGGAGGTGAGAAGTGACACTAGGGGCATGGTGTGAAATCTAGGCCATGTTTCTGTTGTTGTGGTTAAGAGCCGCTGAGTTTGTTCTGACTCACACAGACCCTGTACAGGGTTTCCAAGGAGCAGCTGGTGGATTTGAACTGCAAAACTTGTGGTTAACAGCCTACTGCTTATCCTACATAACACCAGGACTCCATGTTGTTTCTAGTATGTCACAAATGTGGGGTGGGGTAGGGTAAGGGGGGAGAAGCTATAGGGGGGTGGGGGGCACCACAAGCAAATCCTATTTTCTTAAGCAGTGAGCTGCTGACTGCAACATCAGCAGTTCAAACTTACCAGTTGCTCTGAGGTAGAAAGATGTGATGGTCTGCTCCTTAAAGATTTACAGTATAGGCCATAGGCTATGAGTTGGAATCAACTTGATGGCATTATGTTTGTTCTTGTATACAAAAGGTACTAGTTATACGAAATGGAACCAGGTGATAATCCTGGAGGCATTATGGCAGTTTCCAGAACAGCTCTTACTATTTGGAGGGTACATCTTCATTTGGAAGTGTTCTAGCCTCATAAAGGAGTTCTGGCATGGTGCTATAGCATAAGCACTGGACTATTAACCACATGATCGGCGGTTCAAACTCACCAACTGCTCCTTGGAAACCTTATACAGGGTCACTATGAGTTGAAAACCACTTGACGGCTCGTAACAAGCCTCATACAGGATATAAGAAAAGAATGTGGCCTAGACAAATGAGTTTTTCTTAGTTTGAGCACCTGCTTCAGTGTCCATTGTTGTTGTTAGGTGTTGCAGTCAGTGTCTGTTCTAATTCATGTTTTGGTTGCTGTTAATTGCCAGGGAATCAGTTCCGACTCATAGTGACCCTGTATATGAGTTTCTGAGGAATAGCTGGTAAGTTTGAACGGCCGATGTGGTTCGCAGTCCAGTGCTGATCCTAGAGCGCCACACCAGGAGACTGATAGATAATTATTATATGCTAGACTTTCTGCTAAGTACTACTACATAAGAGTGATTCTCCCAACAGAGAATGAGAGAGTTGATATTTACATTCTCATGTTACAAAGAGGAAAACTGAAACTCAGAGAAGCTGAGTAACTTGTACACTGTCATATAACTGGGAAGTGGTGAAGCCTAGATTAAAACCTAGAACCCAAGCAGTCTGAATGTAGAGTTGAGGTCCTCAGTCACCATACATTTTGGTACCCTTGTTGTTGTTGTTAAGTGCCGTGGCGTGGCGTCAGTTCCAACTTATAGTGACCCTGTATAGGGTTTCCTAGGAGTGGCTGGTGGGTTTGACCTTGTGGCTCGCAGTCCAGTGCTGACCCTACAGCACCACACCAAGAACTCCACCTTTGTTGTTGCTGTTGTTTCCAACTCACAGCAACCCCGTATAGGGTTTCCGAAGAGTGGCTGGTGAGTCTGAACTGCCAATCCCCCTAGTAGCAGAAAACCACTCAGTAAGAGAAAGATGAGGCTCTCTGCTCATTTAAAGATTTACAATCTCAGAAATTGTATACAAGGTTACTAGGAGTTGGGCTCATACAGCAAGCAGCAGCAGCACACACACACACACAAATGCCTGTTTACAAATTTGCACTCATTTTACTATTATTTTGCTATTTTTTTGGAAATGAAACTAATCAGTATGGAAAAAGACACCAAAACTGTTTGCAAGTGAAAGAGATCAAATAAGTGTTTTAGAAAGTAATCTACTAAAGACAGAAATAAATTCAACCACTACAGATTCTAAGCCTTAATTTCCTTAAAATCTGTTCTATCTCACACCATTGGTGCGAGGAGAAAATGAAATAATTAAATGTACACAAAGGCATCTGTCAATCACTATAATCTCTTGTTGTTGTTAAGTGCTGTAGAGTCGGTTCCGACCCATAGCGACCCTGTACAGGGTTTCTGAGGCTGTAAATCTTTACAGGAGCAGAAAGTCTCATCTTTCTCCTGCGGAATGGCTGGTAGTTTCTCTTCAGATTATATAATCTATTAAATATCATTTATGTTAAATCCAAAAGTACAGGTTTGGGAAATCAGACAAAAAAGTACTTATTTTCAACATAATGGTTAAAAAAAAAGAAAGGAAAGAGTATTTACTAATGCAAACCAGATATTATGTATACAACTAAGGACAGGGAAAATTATTTCCCAAGGATATTTTTAATCATCCTTCATAGCTAGCTTTGAATGAAATTAACTCAGAATTTAACATATACTACTGAGATTTTCTGCTCCTGGTTCCTTATACAGGGTCCATATGGGTCAGAACCCACTTGATGGCAACTAACAACAACTGAGACTTTACTGTTGGTAGTCAAATGTAGAGAACTGCTGCTAATGGAAACATCATCTTCCGTCCCCCAAGCCATAGATGTAGCCAGTGGTAGCAAATGCCCAGGGAAGCACCACCCTCCAGGAGGTCTTCCTTGATCTCTCCAGTCAGAACTGATGAAGCCACCCCCTAAATGTTCTCACAGCGCATTGGCTATGTTGTTGGCATTTCATTCTGAGTGGGATCAGAGTTCACAGTTGTTGTTTCCAAGCATGACTTCTTACTACTTCTTGAACTCAGTATTCAGTTCCTCCCCCACCCTCCCTCCCTTCCCCACCACCTATGGTAGTGGTTGGGTCTCAAGCGTTGGCTCAGTCAAATCCGTATTATTCAATTCTAAGCCTCCAGCTGTAGTTTCACTGTCTGTACTTGGGGCAAACAGAGACACATCACAAATTTTAAAACAAAGCAGGGTGGAACAACCAGTTTGTGTAATGTGTCTTCTCCCTTCTTGTCTAGGTGATAAAGAAATGCTCTTCAAGAAACCGAATGGGTGACACAGATGGAAATGAAAGCCAGAAGGGGGAACGCATTAACATTCAAAACTCAGTTTCTAATTCAAAAGTACTTTCTCCCCCTCGGTTCCCAAACGCATTTAGGTACCTAGGCCACTACAATGAGAGTGTATTCTATCTCCAGACCCGTAGGTTTTAAAGAGCCACACCCCGTATTCTAAACACCATTCAGGGCCAATTTTCTTTTACACATTTTGAGCCCAAACCCAGAGCAAAGGCTCTCGGAAATGGAGATGATTTCCCAATTTCTATTGTAGGCCCAAGAACATCAACAGTCTGGCTGGACAGGGAGCTAAGAAACAGTAGGACAAGGCTCCGGACACTGCGCTCTAGGGTCAGCTTCACTACACACACACCACCCTGGGATGCACAGGGGGTAAAATGTTGTTGCTATTCGTTTCGGACAGGCGTCCAGGCGCCACGCCGGCCCGCGGGAGGCCGCTAGCCGCGGTGCAGCCCTCGCCGCCCTCGGTTCACACCCCGAGCCTCTGTCATCCTAAAGGTGCCCAGATGAGCCCATTCATCACAGCACACTCTCGCTGTCCCCAGGAATGCGGCCTCCCATCGCCTGCAGAGAAAGCGGGTTCTCGTATTCTCCCTTCTCTGCGCCTCACGCCCCTTCCCACCCCGCCGGGAGACCGTCCTCAGCCCCGAGGACGACTTCGCACCCTACTCCAGTTTGCTGCGGTGTCCCGAAACACCCATTACCTTCCCCAAGCAAATATGGCACGTGATGGGCAGCGTTAGCGACAATGTAACGTTCTGCACGGTCTGAGCCATGGCAGCGTTCAGAATCCCGCCAACACGGAAGTCCCGCCGACCGCGGCTCCTCGCAGCATTTAGGGCCGCGTGAGGCTGGCTACGGCGGCGCGGTAGGGACATAGTTCGCCAGGGAGAGGTAACGAAAACGCGCTTTTTAAAATCTCCGTGGCTAAGGGTTTACCCTTCTTTTTAAAAAAACAAACAACTTTCCTGATTCCGAAACTGCAGGGGGCCTGAGAATGAGAAGGAAGGTGGTTTCCTGAAGGCATTGAGGGTCTTGAAAATTTAAAGGAAAGAGTAATATGAATGGAGGGAAGAGAAGACACGGAAAGCAATTTTAAATCCCAAATCTTTTCCTGAAAGGCGTCGGGGATACTTGATTGCCTAAAGATTAAGTCCCACACAGTCTTTGTAAACACATGGAATCGTAAAATCCTGAAGAGGAAAGACGTTAGATTTCTCATTGAATTTTTCGGAACAACTTTCCGCCTCTTAACGCTCTTTTTCTTAAATGATCCCATCTACTTCGAAAGGGCACGGGCAGTTTTATCCTTTTTACCTGCTACCTAACATTTAGCCGCAGGTTTTCTCGTTGGCTCTTTTGTGCTTTCTACATAAAGGAGACCAGGTAGGAGCCACAGCCGCTTATTTACACCCATATGTGAGAAAACCCCGCAAATGGTACGCGCTACATCAACTCCCACGAAAGCTCTTGCACAATGCGTTTTAACGTCTTCATTTCAGGGTGCCTGGTTGGACATGGCAATAGGCTGTGGAACTCAAAAGGGAAATGTGTGAAGTTATAAATTTGCATTTCCTAGCCAGTGAAAGAAAAACTCTCAAAGTTTCTAACAGTCTTAAATATGTCAGACTTGGAATTTAGCTGCAACTTGCTTTTTAAGTGAGGAAGAGCTGATGTGATAAATTCCTGCCAGCCCTAAACAGTTTTAAGAGTTGGAAGAATTAGAAACAAAGTCAGTGGAAAGAAAGGCAATATAATGATCAGAAGAAGCCTCAAGTTTAAGAGCATGGTGTCCTGGAACCAAATTGCTAGGGTAGGATTCTTGCTCCAACAGTTTACTACCTCTGTGGCTTCAGGCAAATTAATAACTAACCTCTAAGTGCCTTATCTTCAAGGATCCCTGGTGGCGAAGTGGTTAAAGAGCTCAGCCAGCAGCTTCATGGTGAAATTGTCAACTGCCATAGTCAATTTCAACTTACAGTGACCTTATAGGGAGAGTAGAACAGTTCCATAGGGTTTCCAAGGCTGTAAATCTGTATAAAAGCAGACTGCCTCATCTTTCTCCTATGTAGCAGATGGTGAGTTCAAACCGCCCACCATTTGGTAAGTAGCCCAGTGCTTAACCAGCTGTTCTACTAGAGCTGCCTTAGAAATCCTAAGGGGCAATTCTAGTTGTCCTACCAGGTCGGTGTGATTCTGAATCAATGCAATGACATGGGTTGGCCTTAGCTTAGCTTCTTCATGTTTTGTTTTTATTAAGGATCAATGAGATCAATGTAGGTATACTATCATGTCTACTAAAGAATTACATAGTACTAATGAGAGTGCATATCATTTCAAAAGAAGCACAAATTCCGTTCAAAATTGGCTCACCATTGACAGCAAAATTTCTTTTCAAACATCTCCGGATCACTTCCTTTCCTAGAAATTGGAGCGCGTTATGTGCTTGGAAATGGGGAACTGTGAAAAATTGTTAGGTTGATTCTCTGCTTAATTGCCACTTCTTTAAAATGCCAGGTATAAAAATCATCTTGTTCGGTTACTTTCTGGTTGTTAAAAGGCAAAGCCATATTTATATGAGGTCTGGGATTTATGTTTTGCTAATGCACCTTCCATGTTCCTGGCTATAGACACTCAGACTTCGTCACTCACTACTTTGCTAGTTTTGCTTTGACACCCCCCCACCCCCTGTGTTCTTCCCTGCTTCCACCTTGCCTTGGTTTATACCTAAACTGGTATTTTAGGATTAGTCATTCACAACATGAGTGGGGTACAAAAATGAAAATACTCTGCTTTTCGCATCCACCCTACAAACAGTGCAGCAGGAAGACATGTTGAAGACTTTTTTTAAAAATTTCTTACTGGGGCAAGTTTATTTTTTATAAACCATGTGGCTATTCATGTCAATACCTAGTCACAAAAATAATTTGTTTACATCTTAACCTGCATTTAAGTAGAATGCGAAAACCTAGGCTATTTTCAACATGTCTTTCCACATTTGTTATCATTATCATTCAAGTATCCCACAATAATTTCTTTTAGAAGGATCTGCATGAGATGGAAGTTAAAGATATCCCGAATGTCCAGCTTTTCTAAATTGCTATGTTGTTTAGTGCTGTTGAGTTAATTCTGAGTCTTGTTGTTGTTGTCAGGTGCCATCGAGTCGGAACCGACTCATAGCGACCCCATGCACAGCAGAACGAAACAATGCTCGATCCTGGGCCAAC